TACAATAGCGACGATTATTATTTTAAAAAATTTTTGTTAGGCTTAACATCGATGAAAATTCAACGCAAAATAGGTTAATAGCGATATACTAATATACTAATTACATGGGATATAATAATATACTACACTAATAATGGATTTTTTCATACTTTTCGGTTATCCGACTTTTCAATTATCCGACCAACCCCAGTCCCCAATTAGGGCGGATAATCAAGGTTCTACTGTATGCTCCTTTTTTCTTTGAAATGAATTATAAAAAACAAAAGTACAGTAAGACCCCGCTTAATCTGGGGAATGCGTTCCTAGGCAACAAAGTGCTAAATGAAACAGCATTAAACGAGGTCATTTTAACATAGAGTAAATAGGGATAGGGGAACACACGACCAAAAATAAACAAATTTTTATATTAATTTGTATGATAACATATGTTAAATAACATATAAACATATGCATATGAAAATATAGTCCATTTTTTTGTGATGAAGGTCCTGACTTTATTGCAAAAAAACAAGAATTTCAGAAAAGTTGGGAAGTTTAATTCGTCACTTTTTTTTTTCTTTAAGCAAGCAAATGTTGGTAGCAGAAGATCACATCCAAAATGCCTCATTTTACTTTTTCACTCCTTTCAAAATCTGGATCATTCACTACAATTTGATCAACAATTTCGATTATCGTTAGTTACCAAACTTTTACTAAGGAAATCTGTAGAGAGATTTTTTGTGTTCTTCGTTTTCAGAATCTCTGTTTTTCTATTCTACATGAATTCCTTGTTCTGCCTGTTCTTGAAGGTCGTTGTTGGTAAGACTCTCACCAGAAACCTGCGGTAATGCCTCTATATCCTGCTCGTCTAGATCTCCTAGTCCTGCTGTATCAGTTAGGCTGACTTTGGTCAACCTAATGATACAACAATAGATTCTTCTCGTTGACAATTCTTGGATACCTTCAGCCATAACTTCTTCCAAACTTCATTCGTGCATTTATCGGTTAATTCTTGCCAAGCGAAGCTGATATTGCCCTTAGCATCCATAATGTTATATTTTTTCCAAAATTGCACCAAACAAACATAGATTTAAAGGAAGTTCACCTTTCTGCCACCTTTTTCCAATTGGTTTGTGTTCATAAATAATTGTATTACATATGAATCAATAAAATGCTGCGATAATTTAATTTGGCATAAATTTTGAGCTTTTTTTTTAGGCTTTTAGCAGACCGCATTATATCGAATCAGTGTTAAGTGGGAACTTACTGTAGTTTTCATTTTACTGAAAAAAAGATACAGACAATGCATTCCTAAAAATGTATACAAAAGTTGAACAACAGCATTGCATGTTTCAAGGAAATTAGTTTCCAGATAATTATTATGAAAAAGTAAATATTTTATTTGTTGCAATGAATAAAACCATGTTTTTATCTAGTTTCTCTTCAGTCTTTTTGGTTTTAATGTTCACAAATGATTTTGCTGTAACCATAGCTTTAAATTTGCATTTGCACATTCCATGCATCAAGAAACAACCCTGAATAAGGAAACATGCCAAGATTTTCAGAATAAAACTTCACCATGCCATTCCTAAAAGTGTCTAGAACTTGCTAATGTAAAGTGATTTCTCCATCACAATAAGTATAGATCATACCCTATCAATATTATGATTGAGACCTGTGCTTCTGCAACTTGTGATTTCTTTTGTTTCTGCTACTGAAGAAACCTGTGAATGACAAATGGTTTGTATCCAACAAAGAGGCTTGTAGAATAACAATAACTGTTTGACATTACTTTAAAAATGGATTTTCGAAATCATTTGATGTGGCTGTAACAATGGCATAAGTGTGTTTAGGTAAAGGAAGCACGACAATCCTCAAAATATGTAGAAAATAACAAGAAGTCTAGGATTATTCTGCAAATTAAAAATGATCAGCTGGTGTATTTCTAAAGAATTTGAGCTCCAAGCCATAATTGTTTTGGTGATTAAAAGCTAATAAACTAACTCTTTCATTTGCATTTCAGGAAATCTACCACAAATCAAACGCACCGTGGATCGTGGTTGGTGAACGAACTGAAAAATGTATTGGAGGAAAATAATGTCTCCACCAAAGACCTATGGAAACTGATGAACAGAGTCATCAACAACATTATAGAACAGAGAAATGAAAAGTCGGGACCTATACCTGAATTAAGAAGTACAGTAATGCGTCCTCTTTATTTGAAACAATTGAAGAATTCCTGTCCCGTTCAAAAACTGACAGCTATTAATGCAGAGAACTGTCCATCATTATTCCAACTTATTACAAGCTTTTCGGTCCTACCAGATGTTTATTTAGTGTAAAATTCTTGCTCGTTAAATACTATTCACAAAAATACCCGTGATCAAAAAGTTTCAGTAAAACGCAAAATTTTAATTTATTCATCAAAATTCATTTTATCTGCTTAAAAAAGTAATCGCCTCCCATTGCAATGAACTTGTGCCAATACTATTGCCAATTCTCAAAACATACATTAAAATCATTTTCGTGAAACCCCTTTGGGACTAGCAACGAATTTTGTTTTATGGCATCAATCAGCTCAAAATAGTGACCACCAAGCGGAAATTTTAATCGAGGAAATGGAAAAACGTAACATGCTGCAATATCAAGTGGATGCAGAGCTTGTATTTGTTTGAATTTTTGGCCAAAAATTCAAGAATGTAAGAGCATTGTGAGCAGGTGTGTTATCCTTGTGCAAAATCTGCAAGTTTTCTTGCCACAAATCAAGTCATTTTCTACAAATTGCTTCATGCAAATGATGCAAAATGCTCAAATAATCAATCTTTGTCGAGAGTTTGGCCAGTCGGAATGAATTCGTGATGCACAATACCTCAACAATTGAAGAAAACATTTAACACGACCTTGATTTTTGACTGGCTTCGACATGGTCTGTTCGGTCTCGATTCACCTTTCCAGTGTCATTCAATCGATTGTTGAACCGTTTTGGTGTCAAGAGCATTGATCCAAGTTTTGTTACCCGTAATGATAAGAGCGATTTGCCTCAAGAAAGCATTTCCTTGGCCTCTCGAACATTTGTTTTTGGAAAAAAGAAATCAACATTTTGGGATTACTGGAGAGGAGATGCACCGCAAGCTTAAATGATCTTTCAAAATTGCTTAACAAGGCCCAAATGATACCAGAATACATTCAACAATGTCCCTATTTTGAAGTGGATTTACCAAAGCATGATTCTTTCTCTGCCTTCCTCGAACATCTTGTACCACTCGAAAACTTTTATTTTTTTATAGACATTTCCAAAACTTTTTGATCACAGTAGTTTACTTATTTAAGTAGACAACATAACTTTTGACATTCTGAACTAAAGTTTGTCTTGTTGATTTTATACATCAACTTGGTGCCAATTTTTATTTCATTAATTAATTGTTACATTATGCATGCTTTTTTTGTGTATAAATTTAACAACGTTTTGAAATATGATATGATCATAGGCAATTTTTATAAATTCTCATTTAAATAAAGCGCAATCACGAGAGCTTATGATTCCAAACTAAAATGTCGGCATTACAGAATATGGTTTAATCATTGATCACAAGCCATACAAGTATCACGTCTCACAAAAAAGCTGTAGGAGGAAAAACAATAATTGCAAGATTATTATGAATATTCTTTTCCATAAGAAGGAATTAGAATAGAATTCTTGAAATATCTTGTTGGAATCAATCATGAATTGCATATCACCCAACAATTACAGTATCTTCAGCAAATGTGTAGTAGTACTCATTCTAACGTATTATGCACATCAAGGATTAATTTTCTTTCCAGTTCCGAAGAAAAACAAGTTCTGTATTCTCTCTAGAAAATAAAATCTATTCTCAATTTCAACAGAATAATAGACTAATGTGAGACTAAAAGATATTTTTTGCAATTCAATTAATGTAGCTAAGTGGGAATTCATCTTGTATGACAATTTGTTAAATTATGAAATATAAATAAAACTATTTTTTAAAAAGATTTTAAATTGTTATCGTTGAAATTTTACAGATTTATGATTCGGGTTTAAAAATGAATATAAATTTTATTATGAAAAAACATAGTAATTGCCAAAATATCAATATCTCTCCAAAATTCAGTTTCAACGGGAAAGTAATCTGTTGTGTGTGTGAATATGTCTAAATAGAGGGGAAAAAAAATTCCAACTAACATCCAATATTTGAAATCCAAGAACTAAATCTACTGACTTTTAATCCCCCTCTAAAACTACATTTACGAATAAATAAATGTTCAAAACCGAATTAAAGTAGTCCTTTAAAAAAGACAAAAGAAATATCTAAGTTAAAAACGAGAAAATTTCATATATAAAAAGAATTTCGAATGTTTACAGTTGATTCTCCCAATGCTGGAGCAAAACTTACGCCGCGAAGCGATTGCAGCGACCGAAGTGGCAGAAATATTTATTACGCCACTATCGTAGCATTAGAGCTATTGTCAGCTCAAGGACCAGTATATTTATTGACGCCATTAAATCACTCTATACGAACTTTAAATTACGTATTAGTAAACATTGTTTTTTAATCAGTTTTCATCAAAAAGAACACCGAGGTCATTAATAGAACGTTTCTGATACGGTGATTATTGATATATTGATACAAACTGGGCCATATCGGATTGCGTAAGAGCGAGAAACACGTGGTCACAGTTTAAATTAATTTCAAGTTCCACAAACTCTGAAAGGTTGTTCGTATCTGATTAGAGTGATGGAATAAGGCAAAGAACACGAGAGCGATCTGCCAAAAGGGTGGCTTCTGGGAAGACTTTCAATGGGAAACTGGCCTGTATTTAAGTGTTGTTATAGAAGTGAAGAAAATCCGGGAAACTACACATGGCTGGCATATTGGTCAGGGCGCGAACCCGCGAACTCAATAGTAACGTGCTTTGAAAATGTAGTAACGAATCTCCAAACTGTTTTTGTATAAGAAGTGTGTCAGTTAACGATTGAAGTGAAGTACAGCGGAATTCGGTTATTATAATCGCAGATAATGTTGTCAGTCGGCTATTGTTACATAATCAGTTGATCACAAAACACTTTAAAATTAGTTTAAAAATAATCCGCCTGTTATAATCAAACTTCGGCTATTGTTATCAATTATAATAATTAACTTTAGACAAACGACTAAATGGGCCTTTTCTTCGAAACTTCGATTTTCTCAAAATCTTGGCAATAGAAAATACCAGGTCTTATTCATGTGATGACAGGGAAAGCTGCATTACTTCGTGATACACGGCGACTCTTGCTGGAGCTTTCTTTAAAACATTTATCATCTCTGAAATAAGCATATAGTATTTGATTTGGGACATACTGAGTTTCATCAATAATAATACCTTATTCGGCATATCCTACAGCTAGTTTTCTTAAACCTACTCTCCTGTTTGATACTTTCGACATTTACAATTAAATCAGTCCACATTTAACACGTGGAATTGATGTGTATCGAGTGTCGCCGAAGAAGAACAATAACTTATTTGATCCTAGTGTTAAGTTATAGAAGTAAAAATTAGATTTCACGTTTTTTTTTAGGGGGACGACCAAGAACGACTCTGTCTTATGGGCCAATCTCTATCTCTCCTTTAATGTTTAAAATTGTTTGTTTCTTTTATATATCCTACTATCACCTGTAGATTAAACACTGTTCGACCTTTATACACTGTAACCAATATTGTGTTATGTTTGTTTATGTAATTATATTTTTACTTTATTTGTTTTTCTTGGAATTTTATATGGATAAGATTACTTTTTCGGGGACCGACTAGTCACTCACTCGATGGGGCTGCATTTAATGTAAATATAAATAAATAATATTTTTGTAATAGCCAGAATCCTATGGAATAATTGATTATCAATGTGTTTTCAAAAATAAAAAAAAAAAACTTTATTCTGTTTAAATTACAACGAACAATTTTCACAGGACACACAAACATTGCATTACTGTGCAACAGTACTATTATAAATAGCAATATCGACTTTATTGTTTATTTTCATATCGAATCCAAATACCGCTTTCCCTAAGGTATTCACCATTATTATTTCAATAAGACAGCATATAATATTTAGAAAGATCCCTGGTTTCATCTAGAATTTAATTTGTAAAATTTTATGAATTTAAGGAACTCTTTTTATACATAAAAAATCTATTTAGATGTGGTTTTACCATGTCCGAAGTCTTCATATCTCCTGCTTGGTAGACAATGGCGCACGGAGGATTTCCGATAGGAAGCATGAAGGAGAAAGAACAGCAAATGGTAATCGGAAGCATGAAAAAAAGAGGGTCTACACCGATTGCAATTGCCTTAAATAAAGAGAAATTTGTAAGAATTCGAGCGAAGACCTTATTTAAAGAGCTCGTGTCCTATTTACCATTTGATTGACCACAGGGAGGAATAAAGTTGCAGTCGTCATGTTTGTCAGGACTTCGGTGATCATTGCGATAAGGAGACACAGGATGACGAGGATTGCATTGGGCGATAAGGCATTCAAATATCGTAACTGATCGACGATCCATATCGATAAGCCAGATTTCTAGACGGAAAAGTTAAGATTCAATTAAAATTATTCCCCCCTCATCGTGTTAAAAATTGAAGTCGGTTACCTGAGCACCTTCTGTGACAGCTAAACCACTACCGAATAGTAGCAATACTCCCCAAGGTAGTTTCCTCTCTACAGTTTTCCAATTCATGAGTGATTTACTTCTAGAAAAATTTCTAGGATCTGCAGGGATCAAGAAGAGCAAAAGACAGGCCGCTACTCCCGGAGTTGCATTGCTTACGTTGCTACGAGATAGTTAGCTTTCAAATTATAAAATCGACAATTCTAGACGTTTAGAAGCTAATTTTACAATAAATAATAGGATTATTACATATTTGGTATGAGTTTAGAGGACCATCCTTCGATAAATTTCGGATTTTTAAAGAACCACGTAATCAACAACGAAGCAAATATGAAGAGAATGGCACATTCGTGAAATCTAAGAGAAGCGTAATTAAAATTAAACAAATTAATAAATATGCACCCAAAAAAAAGGAGAAATATCTTACGAAACAGATCCGAGTTCTTCATACTTCTTCTTTAAAACGATCGAAAGTCTTCTTTCTTCTTCTTTGTTACTCTTGAAACTATTTAAATTCATACTCTTTGATTAATATGGCGATAAATTCCGTAAGAATGTAGAAAAAACGAAGTTTCGTCAATTATTTCAACCACTTTTCTTAAACTCATTGTTTAAAATACCTAATTAAATGATACCCGAAGACGGAACTTCAATACTTTGTTCCGTTTTGCTGACTTAATGTAAATAATTCTTGATTTGTTTAATATAATTTCTGTTTTATTTTAATATTAATTACATAAATAACTGCCAAAATTGAAGAATGATTGATCCATGTAAATATAATTCTAGAATCAAAATTTGTCACTTGTCACAAACCGCATAAAGACGTTATTGATGTATTCGTTAAGTTCCTTTGCGCTGGGGTATTATGTAGAAAGATAATCTTTCTTGATTTTTCTTTTAATTTTAACGGGTAAAAATAATAAAACGATACTTAGAAAGTTGCTTATTTGCATACTAAGTCAATTTAAATTTATAATTACTGGTAATAGCTTTAAAGTTAAAAGTAATAAATTACCCTCAAGTACTTTGCACTTAGAAGTGCTTCAGTTCCTGAAAATGAGTTGATAAAACCACTGAACACTGGTACTGGGTTCGCGTCTGGTACTGGTACTGGATAACTGGTACTGGTACTGGATAACTNAGGAGAACAGAAACTTGCACAACATACCAACTATGTCCTGTGCTGAAATAAATGTACACGACATCTGCTACGCTGTTAACAGAACACACAACTGGAAGACACCTGGTGTAGATAACATTCACAATTTCTGGTACAAAAAATTTACATCATTGCACCAGGAACTAGCTAAACATCTAATACACATCATTATCAATCCACAAGACATGCCAAAATTTCTTACTCAGGGTCACCTACATGAAACCTAAAAACAACAAAACCACAGACCCCACACAATACAGACCAATTACATGTCTTCCAACACTCTACAAATTATTGACATCCTGCATTGCAAACAAAATATACAAACAAGACATTCTTACAGAACAACAAAAAGGTTGCCGTAGAAATCACAGGGTGTGCAAAGAACAGTTACTCATAGATTCAGTCATTCTATGGCAAGCACATAAACAACACAGAAACATACACATGGCATATATAGACTACAGAAAAGCATTCGACAGCATTCCACACAGTTGGCTGCTACATATTTTACACATGTACAAAATACATCCATCACTCATTGCATTCTTCGAAAACACTATGCAGCACTGGAGAACAATACTGCATCCTCAGGGTTAGTAACACTTCCATACAAACAAATGAAATATTCATTAGGCAAGGAATTTTTCAAGGAGATTCCTTGAGTCCTCTCTGGTTCTGCCTAGCCCTGAATCCATTATCCAAAATGTTAAACAACATGCAATATGGCTACAATATCAGACATGAAAAAACAAAACAGTTTACACTCTCACATCTCATGNATATAATTCTAGAATCAAAATTTGTCACTTGTCACAAACCGCATAAAGACGTTATTGATGTATTCGTTAAGTTCCTTTGCGCTGGGGTATTATGTAGAAAGATAATCTTTCTTGATTTTTCTTTTAATTTTAACGGGTAAAAATAATAAAACGATACTTAGAAAGTTGCTTATTTGCATACTAAGTCAATTTAAATTTATAATTACTGGTAATAGCTTTAAAGTTAAAAGTAATAAATTACCCTCAAGTACTTTGCACTTAGAAGTGCTTCAGTTCCTGAAAATGAGTTGATAAAACCACTGAACACTGGTACTGGGTTCGCGTCTGGTACTGGTACTGGATAACTGGTACTGGTACTGGATAACTGGTACTGGGTTCGCGTCTGGACACGTGGTGTTTCCGGGTTTTCTTTACGTCTGTAACACCTAAGAGCCAGTTTTCATAAAAGTTCTCCCAGAGCCACCCCTCCTCGGTAGATTATAAACCAAATTAATGAAATCGCAAAGTACTGTACTTCTTTGCGATTTCATTAATTTACGAGGACCACTCGAAACGATCTTAAGTTTTAGAAACTTCACTTTTTCGCTAATTTTACACCAGAATTTTTAAAACAGAATTTAAATGGGCGGTGCAAAACTTACCGACATCCAACATAGAAAGTCTGAAGAACCATAAAGACGGCAATAACGCAGATAACCATGGTGGGTGCATTATACATCAACCACGTAGAGAAGGTTAATTTCGAATTTGGGTATTTCCTGTCGAAATCATAAATCTTAAACGCGTTTTCAATTAATCGCGACGTAAAGGTAATCACTTACTCTTCTATTAATCCCAATAGGACAAAATTTGCACCGGTACCTATAACCGTTGCGGTACCTCCGCAAGTCGAAGCGTAAGCGATACTTAGCAATAAACACGTACGAAGTCTTTCGTAGTATATATCGTTGTTGCTCTCTTCGTCGATTCTATAATAAGCATATAATAATTTAAAAAAAAAAACCAGGATGGAGTTCCAGTTAGAATGTCTTCATTTATCGTCACTCACATTTCTTGAAATTCTTCTTCCGCTCTTGCAATGGTTTCTGTGCAAGGTTTAAGTGATTAATCTTTAATTACTTAGTGCAATATATAGAGATAAGCGATACTAACTGCGATTCTTCTCTGGAAGCGAAGGGTTCTGCTGTTTATCTTTCAGTTCGATAATTAGAGCATCCACGATGGGTGTCATCATGGCCGTCGTAGCCGTATTGATTAACCACATGGAAAGAAGCGCGCTCACTAAGATAAAGCCAATCATTAATCTATAAAACAAAAATTACACTCAATTTTCATGCCCTCTCGAGTTGTGTATTTAACTCGAGAGACATAAACTGCCGATCCTTACCTCCTGATGCTGGTTCCTAGTAGCAGCAGTACTTTCAATGCGATTCTTTTGTGCAGATTGCAATACTCGATAGCTAATGCTAATATGAGCGCTTCCATATACATCATGATTATGTCCTAGATTAAACTTTGTTTTTTTTTTAATTGCCATTAAAGTTAATTTAGTTAACGTTAATGAAAAAAGAATTAATTACCTTGAAGTACAACTTGCAAGTTTCGTCCGTGCTCATGATTCCCATAAGTGGGTAAAGGAGGACTGGAAGAAGCGAAGTAACGGGTATAGGTATGGGTTCGAAGACGTAATAAATTGCTAACCACAATATTGCATAAGCGCATTTTGCTTCCTGAAATTAAAAAAGATAAAGTTTTGCTTCGTATTTTCCTATAGGAACTTATTAAACATTAAAAATGTATTAAATGAATAGGCAAAAAGTACTGTATATCTAGAAAGATATATAGTACTTTCTGCCTGTTCATTTAAGATTCTGATCACTACTTATTCTCAAACTTGGTTTCTTTAATTGTCTTCTCTGATAATGAATTAGGATTCGTCTCGAGATCGAATACATTGGTTTCATTTTCTAATAGCTGTAATATTTAGTTCGTAGTATCGACTCGAATCTCCGTCTTGATAAACGAACCCATCAGATACTGCGATAGGGAGGTGAATGATGAATTTAACCTATCAGAAATTCGATAACAACTTGCTTATGATGTATAATGTATATTATATTCGTCTATGTTATCGATAATAACGTAATACAGTGAATGACTTTTATGTAATCATTCGGTTTATATTTAAAAGTTTGTTTTTCGATTTGATTTCAAAAGGGTATAAATATATTATTACTGTATTGTGTGTTGTGTTGTTTAACTATTGAGTTATATACTTGTGAGCGTGAGGTTCAACTTCTTAAGTAGATGTAGTCTTACGAAGACGTTGCACACTTCATCCTTGATTTTTTCAATAAACAACAGAGTTTTATTTTAAAAAACTCGCTGTGCTTTGATTCTTTTTTCCTGTTTTATCGAACGATTCGTACTTAATTTCTCAGAAGCCAACGTCTTAACTTTGTGCTCGAGCTTGAAAATGTAGTATTCATTTCCGAGAATTATCGTGATCGAATCACTTGATTTTTTGGATCTTGCAAGCGACAAATTTTGTTTAGAAACTAATCTCCTATCATTAATTTATATTAAACTTTCAAATTTTCTTTTATTTAATTCATAAAATGTGCCCCTTTTTAAATCGCAAATTGATCTTTTAAATAATTTGGAAATCGAGAAATTCTGGTTTCAATTATTTATTCATTTTTTAGTCCGATCCAAAAATTACCAGTGGAAGATTTCGAAGTTTTGAGATAAAATAAGAAAACTTTCCATTGTCAGGTGTCCTCTCGTCTGAACTTTGGATCTCTGACCTTTTTTTCCTTCCCCACCCTCAAAAATAAAAACAAAATATTAGATTTTTCTTACGTCAACCGCAGCATTGTTTCTTAATATAAAACGTTTTAATTTGTTCCAAACAGAATAAAAGGAACGTTTTATATTAGAAGGATTATCTGGTATTTCGAAATTAAAGTTTCAAGGCCAACCGATAACGATATTTTCTTCTTTATGGTATTTTTTCCTCCCTTTCTTTTATACAAATTCGTTTTAGTTCCCTATAATTTATAATGTATTACAATTTTCTCTTCACTCGTGTATAAAAAGATCAATATTGTACAATGAGGAGGGTGATTCAAAAATTCCGCATAAACGAGTTACACATTCTTCACCTTATCTGGTGTTATGTGTGCACGCTCGTCTTTGTTTTGTATGCAAATTTTTGAGTCATTTCGTATAAAATAAGCTATTTTATGATACTAAAGTGTCATACATTTACCCCCAACACATTCAAAATTATATCATGCATACGAGATAAGTGTAAACTTAATTAATGGACTTACTTGTGTGCCGATGACAATTAAGAGAGGGGATAAGGCAATGGGAGTGACGATCCCTAATAATTTTCTCCAGTAGCGATCTATATTCAGGAACATCTTTTATTGCATGGGAGATAAACGTAGACAAGGTAGTGTTTTATAGTCACGCGTGTTTCATGAGACGACTTTGCTAAAAGGAACAATAGTACGCACTATGACGTCATTTAATGATAGCATTTGGTATTTAAACAGTCCTTTCCTCCATCTACAGACCTCCGACGAGAAGGTTGAAGGGGTGAAAAATAATCTAACTAAAATATATAAATATTTATCTCATCAGCCGATTTCGTCCAATAAAACCGTCTTTCGCAATTATTCGATATTAAAAAATAATTTCGTCGACGAAAAAAAAGTAACTTAAAAATGCTTATTATTTTTCTCTAAAACACGAGTTTACTTATTTACGTTCGTTCGTATGTCCATTCGTATAAACTTCCACGCGACGGTTGAACTCGTACAAGCTTAGAGATTTACAATGTGTTTAAAATTTTTATACTAGAATTGTCAAAAAATATTTCGTGTATATTTATTTATTAAAGGTATTTTTCGACGAAACTCGTAAGGAATTAGACGACGTTTCTACAGATGCTTTGTGTAGTCGACATTTTCGAATGGTCGAATGATTACGATATACGATGTCACATGGTTCTGTATAGTTTTCTAACAAATAAAGGAAGTTTAAAGTTTGAATATAACAAAAGAGAGTCATTTTTGGAGTAATTTTCGAGATTCTTTCATTGTTTTCTTATTTTATAAAGTTTTAAAACATTCAGTCAATTTTCAATAATTTTACTACGAGGATTTTCTTTCCCTTTCTCTTTCGTAACTATTTTATTTCTAGTGTAAATAACAAACAAACAAACAGCCGTCCTCTATCTGCATCATCGTAATACGTACGTCGACAATAACCACGCACGCTTTGACCTTTTTCAATCCCTTGGATTCGACTGATTAATGCATTTTTGAATAAACTTTATGCGTAAGCAATGGAAGATTTTCTCCGTTATTTTAAATATCATTGAAAAGAATCGCTTACAAGAAGTGTTTGCAAGTTCCATTGCAAAATACTCTGGGGAATTTTTTCGAGACGATGAAATTCTGTAATTCAACATCAAGGCTTTTTCTAATATGCTGTTTTTCAAACAGTAGTTTGTAGGGGAGGTATCCCCTCGGTATTATTTACGAAACTGGCCATTATTTACGTGTTACAAACGTGAATAAAACACGGAAAATCCTAACTGGCCAGCCCGTTGGCGATGCACGAACCCACTACCAAACTACCGGTGCGTATACCGATAGTTTGGTAGTGGGTTCGTGCATCGCCAACGGTAATTTTATCCGGTAATTTTATCCACTCGGCCACAAGTGGGCCTCTCGTCGTATCCTACTGTATTTAATTGCAATCCTCCTTTACTGCAGTAATTGGCTTCAGAATAAACAATCACAATTATTAAAATATTGATAATATATAAATACAATTTCGTGTTACAAATGCGAACCGAATAAAAAATAAAATCGTTGTTTGCATTCATCGAAAAGCGCACATTTACGTGTTTATTGTCCTACTTTTCTGAAGTACCTCGTTGCAATTTACGGGTGAGTCAAGGAGTATCGACATCTTAAACTTTTTTTTATCGTATCTTAATCCCTGACGACACTTAGAATCGAAATGTATTATTTTAGAGCTTAATGCTTTCTGCGCCTTCGCCCATTTATTTGAAATGTCTTTTATATTGATTCCGACCATTGGCGGTGTCTGTATCTGTTTATCCTTTGGGTTGAAGTGCCGAAGTTTAATTTACGAGTGGGATCGTCGGATATAAGTGTTACGTAGTCTTGCTTTCGTTTCGGTTTGGGGTTAACGACCTCGACACCGTCTCAAAAAGTTTTCATTAATATTTTATGTCACTACCGGAGTGAATTGAATTGAACTGTGTAAATTGAAAGCAGACATGTTCATTAACAGTACAATAGCTGTTTAGTTTTAGTGTATTATTTTCCCACTCTGAACAGTGACCAACTGTAAAGCTCATAGCAAACTGGTCTATAACGCGGGTTCGTATAATGCGGATTCGTATATCGCGGCGAAAAAATTGCGACCGTATTCGTATAAAGACGCTTAAAGAGACTCGTAAAATGCGGTAAAACGTCATCGCCGACTCGTGTCGCGACATGATTGGTCGAATCTGGACCAATAGTGGGCGAGCAGCCGAACTACTTATACGCTACCGAGAGTTTAGGCGGGTAAGTTGAGTTTACTATCGTCTGTACAGTATATGGACCTAAATTAGGTATTGTAAGTCTAATACAATACTGTAATTTTATACATTTCTTGTGAAAAAAACATTTCTTATTCAACGGCCATAAAAATTATTTCTATTAATGATGTCTCCAAAGTTTAACGAATTTTTCGCAGAAAAATAACTTATCAGAAAACGCTCCCGCCGTTTAGTGCGCTGCTCCGCGACGAAAACAAGCTTAAGCAATGGTGTCGTCAAACGGTGCACGCTCGGTAAGTAATCCTACAATTTTTTGTTTATAGCATAGATTATACGAATTATTCCCAAAAAATTATAAGTGTTTTGGAAATGTTGAGTCAAATTAATTTAGAATCGATTAATTTTATGGAAGAAAACCTTTCAAACAGCCGTATTCCGTAAACTGGACACGTGCGGGCTGTGATTGGCTCATCTATTTAAGGATTCCTACAACGCGAAATTCTTATAAGGTGGTACGTATCTACCGCGTTATAGGGGGTCGACTGTAAATACTATTGTATATTAATTTAATTTGAAATCGAAATAACTAATAAGAGGCAACACACTCAAAATGGACTTTTTTGGAAGATTGTGCAGCAAATACTAATCAAATGCTACCGGTAAACAGCTTTACACATATTATGTGTTTTATGGCTTTGATACAGAAAATGCGCTTAAATTGTTAAATATACTATATTGTTAAATTGTTAAATATACAGGTCTATATATATACAGTTAAGGATTAAAACTCTTCCTTTCCTTTCCACTCCTTTACACAAAGAGTTAAAATATTCTAACTCGTTGCCTATACACAACACACAAACGGCATGCCCCTTGACTGGAAAGAAAATGACGGACGTGTATTCAATTTTCTTTAAACGTGACGTCGCTACAGATACTCTGTAGAAAATTCTAGTTCATTATAGGACAGTTCGAAAATTCCAGTATGTAAGCGCCCCTCTCTGCGAAAATTCCTTTTTTACAATTAAAATTTTGATAAAAAGGAGAAAAGATGTAATTTTATCATTTGTAAATTATTTTTAACACGATTGTTAGACTTAAATGGAAGTGATAAAGACAAACTTCCACTTTTAATATACATTAGTGAATATTGTGTTTATTCTATTATAAAACAATTAAAATGCGAGTTTTGTAAAACAATTTCCTTATTAGACAAAACTTTTAAAACAGAGTAATTTGCTAATCAAATTAGTTTTTAACAGTGACAAACTTATGCATCCAACTACAGATGTTGTGAATATCGTCTTTACAATTATATTCAGAGCAAAATTTACTTATAATATCGAGAACAATTTTTAAAAGGTAAAAATCAAAAACAGCATACTGTGGCCCTTCTAAAAACATAATTGTTAACGAAGAAATACTGGGTTTGTATCTTGTTTAAACAAACACAATATAATTAATAATTGTTGAATTTATAATCTATTCAGCAAGAATTATTATTTTTTTTTAAATTATTGTAAAATGAAAAAATATCTACAAAGTGTTCTTTTGAAAAACGAGTGAATTTAACTCTTCAAATATTGTAATCTTCAACTGCAAACTCTGCAGATGCTACAAAAAGAACTCATTTTAAATCTGGGCAAATTCAAAAGAAAATCTATTATCTTAAAACGTTGTTATAATAGAGTACTCTTCTAAAATAACTTTACGTTTGTTTTGTAAATTCCGAATCGATTAAATCGGTTATAAGTTTCTAACTGTCGATCTTTGACCGACGAGAAAAACAAGCAAACACGTGGAAATTCACGTTTTAAGAATAAATACACAAGAATACAGTTTCACCTTATTAAAATTTCACTGTTTTATTAGAAATAAATATTTACAAACTATACAAAAGTCACTTAAAGCGCGCGAAATATCTACATATTCATCGCAATTACGGGAATTATTCTTTGGGAGCGTCGTCCAGATTTTCGCCGCTCTCCAACTGTTTTTCTACAGTTATAGGAACTATCCTCTCGTTACACGGCAACTGTTGACACTTCTTGGGAGCCTCTACGGTCAATACTCCGTCGGGACTCAACGACGACGTCACCTCATCGGGATCGACTTGGTCGGGAAGAACGTATCTTCGGGTGAACTCCCTGGATACGAATCCGTCTTCGTCCATCCTCTCTTCGTGTTTAGCGTGGATCACCACGCAATTGTCCACGGTTTTGACAGTTACGTCCTCCGGGGTGAAGTGACGGAGGTCGGTCGTCACCCGGAACCCATCTTGGCCGTCGACCACTTTCGCCGCTTTCCAGCTCGATTTACGCTTGCAATTGTTACGTCGACGTCCGATGACGCGTTTCCGGTAGAAAGACGGCATCCAGAAGTCGTCGTCGAAGGAATCCAAACGACGAAACAGTCGACGAGGAAGATCCTCAAGATCCCAGCAGTCGTCGATGGGCAGAACGGGAACCAAACTACAAACGGGTTTCATTTCCGACGAGATTTGCACTTGACGACACTCGAGTGGAGTTTGATCGTCCGACTCTACTCGCGGCTTATATACAAAGCTACGAACAGTCTGGAACATTCCGGAAATACGACGCGTTGCGCCATCTGTCGGTAACTATCTCGGGGTGACGTTGCTATAGAAACGAAAAGTCGAGTCTGTTCTCGAATCTCCGGCATTTGCACCAAGGTTTAGAAAGATAAAATATTCTGTTTATTAATTAATAATTTAAATTAAGGATGCGCGAAATGGAAAGTGCCGTTGTGCCATTCAGCTATCCATTTAACGCCTACAAATATTTTAAAAAGTGATGTAGCATTAATGTTTCGGGCCTTAATTTCGGATAAATTGCATCGAAGAGGATCGATTTACTCCATTGAACGGTCAAACAAAGGAACAAAAGTTGTCCAAAGGAATTTCTGCTAAATTAGAAACGAGTGAAACCTTTAATAACAATGATGGAAGGCGTTATAATTTAAAAAAAAATGCATCTTCTTTCAGCAAAGTATCGCGCCATTCCCTTTTAAAAAGCCGCATTTCGACTGTTTTTAAATAGGAAGAAACTTGTGTAAACCGGACTGGTGCCCCACCGAATATTTTTCCCCGTTTTGTCAGGTTTCCGTTTTATTAAGGTTCCGCTTTGGACGGGTTTTCCTATAGTTTCTAGCGGTGTTAAATCTAATTGTATTTTGATAAAAATTCAGAATTTTTTAAATTAATACGTCGGAAAATTATTCTAATTACCTACCATATTTTATTTTATCGAATCTCTCGTTAACTAATACTTAACATTGAATACGTCATATTCGTAATAGTTTTCAATTTTACTCTGTACATCTGAATAAGTGAGAGAAAAAAAAGCAATAAAACCATTGTTAAATTATTAAATAGAATTAGCTGTTAAATTTATTACAGTATTTCTTTAATTTAAAATTCTGTTTTATTCTTATATATTATTCAGAATAAATAATAATTTTATCACGAAATGTATGGAAAAGTCGAGCGTTATTGGCCTAAAAAGCACGAGAACTTTCTAGGCCACTGTTATCGATGACGTCACGCGTCACAACAAACGCTCTGTTGCGTCATGCGCAGACGTTCCAGAATGTTCGAGAAGTTTCCTCTCTCCTACTAATACCGGCGACTGCCAGTGTGGCTT